TATATATATATTCAGAATGTTTCAAATAAATGAATAAATAAATTAGTTAATTAATTAAAAAAAGGTTTACTTGACCGGTCGTCATTGCGACTCACCCATCTGCCTGAATATGGGTTTTACCTGTCGTGCAATGGGATTTGTTGAACCCTGGCTCACAGGTATTCTTACCTCTCTGATCTTGTCCCGTTTTTCTTTAACATCTAGCTCCGGTGGCTCCCCGTCACTGATGCCCACCACCTTGGGCATGGGGACGGGTGGTAAGGGTTTAGGTCCCATTTCTTTCTTCTTTAGGTCCTCAATCACTTTAGCCTTTTCCGTCTGAATCACGGCCTGCAGCTCCTCACGAGACTTCCTCAGCTTCTCCTTCGCCTCCTGCAGAGCTCGCTCATGGTCTGCTCGAATCTTGTCACGTAAGCTCTCCTCTTCCTCCCTACGGGAAAGGAACAATGTAGATAACCAGGCTAATAAACATCAGCCAGTAAGACTTTCAAGACAGGCAGATATATTCAATACACAAAAAAACAACCACTTTAAAATTCAATATTTAACTGGTGATTTTTTTGGGGGGGACTTTTGTTTCCACTTTCCACCTTTTGTGAACAATAAATAAATCACACTAAAGGTTGCAACAGGGCAGAAAAAAAAATCTGTCAATATCTGGAAATTTAGCAAATTATTTCAAATTAGAAACTTCCACAGTTTTTTATGGGAGTAAACTAAAGTTGTGTGTCATTTTACTAAACTATCACATCCTAAGAACATACATTAGGATTTGTCAWAGCCATGTGTCTGACAAAAATTCTGATAATAAATAATCTTGTGCACATAATTGCCATCATTTCACAGTACTGGGTGATATTAAATCTCATATTATAGTAGAGTTGGGCAATATTGGCAAAAAAATTAATCACGATTAATTGTGGTATTTAGTCGATAACGATTAATTTGACGATTAATTCCCTGGACACCCTTATTTCGTGTTCACATGACCAATTTAATGGGAAAGATTTGATCTTTATAAAAAATTGTTCCAAATTGTGTGAAAATTACAGATTTCAGGCTATACATCATATGTAAAATTGTGTTGATAAATAAATAAATTAAAGAACTTTATTTTTAATGTTCGTCATATTTGAAGCAGAGAGGAGCACTGAGCGGACTGACCGGAGCAATCCCCAGTCAGTCTGCCTGGTGGCATTAATCGTATTAATCGTCAAGTGTCAAAAAGTAATCGATTGTTTTTCTGACGATTAATTGCACACGATACGATTATGCCAAACTAACTAACTAACTAACTAACTAACT